TTTTTTTTTTTTAAATTAAAAATCGTTTTCCGACTTGCTTTTTTTGCGCGGGGGTGTTTAAACAACTTACGCCAAGTAAATTCCGAGGTACATAGCCTTCCTTGTGTCCCTGTTTGCTCCACCACCACTCCCTCTCGTTGTCGTCGCCCTTTCGAAGAACAACCAGGGAATCACCGTTCTTCAGGCTAAGCTCGTCGCTGTGTTGTGCCTCGTAGTCAAACACCGCGTACACCTGGCCGTTGTTCATTATCCCGAGCTTCTCTTGGACACCTGCGGCGCGGGTATAAAGCTTGAAATTGCTCGATAAATTCGCCAAGATTTAAGAGATTCGCCAACATTTTACCAGCCGTTCAAAATCGGTATATACTGACTGTATAAGTATTCCGAGCAACCGTCGAACCCCTCCTCGTCCTCCTCGCATTTTTCCGCTGCGGTTTCATGATCGGAGAGGGTGGTGGCGAATATACAAGCTCCGTGCTCCACCAGGAATCTCACCATAGACAAATTATTGCAGCTCGCAGCGCAATGCAACGGTGTCCTGCGACAGGACAAGATCGATTTGAACAAATCCGAGATTTAATTCAACGTAAATTAAATCGACCAATCTTACCATCCGTCACTGTCCTGAGCGTTCACGTCGCAGCCAAATTCTACCAGAAACTTGACGATCTCCAGGTGACCGGCACAAATGGCGTTGTGAAGCGCGGTGATCCCTTCGTCGTTAGCCGAGCTTGGATTCGCCACCTCTTTAGCAGTTTTCTTTACCAGTTCCAGTTCACCTTCGAGGCTGGCGTCCAACAGAAGCGCCAGAGGATCAAACGAGACCCTTCTCGAGAGGTTCACCTTGCCGGTGCTCGACTTGAGATTTCCTTTCTTCCTCCTCATCACCTCGTTGCTCTTCCCATCAACTTCCAGCTCGTTTCTTCTTTCCGAGTCTTTCGCCTTCGCCTTGTCCTCGATGTTGATGACGTTCAACGCGTCGATGATGTCCGCCTCTTCCAATTTCTCGTTGCTAATCACATCCTCGTTGATGATCTTTTTACAATTGTCCGTCGTGTCGATGATCTGTGACTGTTGCTGCAATTGTTGTTGTTGTTGTTGTTGTTGCTGCTGCTGCTGCTGCTGCTGCTGTTGTTGCTGTTGCTGTTGTTCCGTTTGCATCAAGTCCGCTGGAATCTCGGTCTCCGGGAACAGAAACGCCGGTGGCATCTCAATCCGCCGGTTTATCGACACGTGAACATTCGACTTGGCATAACGGAGTTTCGGCTGTTCGGAGACCGGCACCTTTTTCAGAGTCAGCGGCCTAGCTTTGATGATCTGATGGTTGGCAAACTGCGTCTCTGTCGGGGACTCGGGCGGCTCGGACGTAGGAATCGGTGGTACGTCCTCCTCTTTCTCCGTTCTGCGAACGATTCAGTGATGAAAACGTCGGTTAGGATCGACGAGGTAAAGCTCAAGTCGAGGAGGATTGCTCAAGAAGGTGCATTAAGTGGGGATCGACTTGAGTAATCTTTGGACTTAAAGAAGTTACGGTACAATTAGACGCTTTAATACTTATACAATTTTGATGCTTTGGACAAAGTACATACCAGTACTTTATCAAAGTTTGATGTATCTTTTTCTTTTTCTCAGAAAGGTTTTTACATCAACTCCAAAGTATTTCAAAGTTCTTCAAATCACTGAGAAGCTTAACAAATTTGAAGTATTTCAAGAAAGAACAAGAAGAAGCACGCGGTTCGACGATGAGATTCGGAGGGAACTTTCAGAACAGGAAAACAGGAAACTTGGATCCCGCCTCGATCGATCGAAGAGCTCGCGTACACTAAACTGTTGTCTCAGCTGCACGGTAGTGGTTCTATTTTGGTGTCTATTATTCGAGACAGGCTTCGATTCACCGGCCAAATCGATCGCGGACTAATTAACATTTATAATTAACCCGGTAATCGTTTTTACGAGCTGTTCCCAAAATCCCTGCTCTATCTGCCCGTTTCCCTTTGGGCGATTGCCTCTTGACATCGATTTCAAATAAAAATCTCAATTTAAATTCAAAAATGGAAATTTCAATTTCGAGTGAACGTGAAACTTTTTGATGGCTGAAATTGAAGTTAAAAAAAAAAAA